ATCTATCTATCTATCTATCTATCTATCCATTCTTTATTTTCATCATCTTTAGTACATAATCGATTGTGAAAACATTTTGAATCAGAATCAACTTCATAGGCTGTGAATGCATAGAAAATTTGACTTTGGTTTCATGAGCTTGCTCCACATTAACAGTGAATATAAATAAAAGAAACAGTAACATTTTTAACATCCACTTAAAGATTAAGGCAGGATATTGTAATACACCAACATATCTTAAGGAGGCTGTTAAATAAACACAGAGGCAGTGAGGACTCCATGCCTAGACATGTAAAGATACTAGCTCAGATAAGATGGCAGCATACACAGACAGTAGTGTTCTTAAGTGGAGGGGATAGGCCTCCGACTAATATCAGGTTCCTCACTGCCTTGTGTTAGGATACCAGTCTTGTCTGGCCAGCCTTTCTTATGCCTGTGAAATCTGCTTTCTTATTGAGCCACTTTCTTGTTTTTATTGTTGTCTAATATTTGGATGGTTTTCTTATTAAAGTTATTTCAGTTAACATGATGTAAAATTGGTTTATCTTTTAGATATGATCTTTCACTTTATTTCTGCATCATATTGTTAAAGAAATTAAATATCTGCTATTTGTAAAACAAATTAATTGCAATTAAATCAACACCCACATTGCAAAAACCTCATATTAAAATCTGAACAATGAGGGAAAAAGAAACGAGGCTCACAGAAAACCTGAACTTGGTAACCTTGGAAGGAGACAAACTGCAGACAATTAGCATCTAAATGGAGCGATAAGGAGAATCGCTGTGGTTTGGCTATGGAAGATACAGATCTGTGAGGGAGTGAAAGGGAAAGTTTGGGTTTCAAGCACCTGTTGAAGGTAACAATTGAGAGTTGTAAGATTCCTCTGTGTTACACAACTGCACCATGGGATCCAAAACGTGCTCAGGAGGAGATGGAGTCTTCGCTCACGTGTTTGATTGACTGGTAGAGTTAAATCACAACTGATTTCCTATCAAGCCATAATATTTTGAATTTAATTTGGCAGGATGGTGTTAAAAATGTTCCCCCTTGCAAACTAAATTTGAATTGAAATTAGATATTGATCTAACTCAAAAAAAAATTTAAAAGCACATTTAGCTGTAATCATTTTAACATTTTTAGTTTGGACTTTAAATACTTCAAATATTAAAAAAGCATTCTTTTATTTAAAATTAAAAATAGAATTAGGAGGTGAAGCGAAACATCACTAGATATGCAAAACATTTATTTAATTAGATTTTATTGAATAGTGCTTTTGTAAACATTCACAACATTAATAAAAAAAAGAAAAAGAAAAACAGCATTTATACACGGGCCTAATAGCACATTTTAAGACATCATGAAAGAAAATACAAACATTTCTTCTGTACATTATATTTACATAATAAATAACTCTAGCCTTGGGGTTCTATTTTAAAGTTTGGGAATTTGGCAGGTCCAGCTTGTCCATTCTGGTAGGTAAATAAAGTCCCTCCTGAAACACAAGAGACAATTATTAATGTTTTGAAAATCAGAAGTTTTTCCAATCAAACAGATATA